TCAAGAGAGGGTTGGGCGGGGGCGGGCGGGATGGGGGAAAAGGGGACAGTCAGGCCATCTGTGCCCAGACCCGCCGGGGGGCCCGTATCACTTGCAGCTCTGGAGCCGGGTCCTGTGGTGCTTCTCCTGGGTCAGGAGAGGGATGAAGGTGTCGCTGTGGGAGATCTTCAGCCAGCTGCCCCAGCTCCCCTCCTTCCCGGCGGGGGGCTTGGGCGGGAGGCTGTCCAGGCGGCCGTGGGAGCCGACCGCCCGGCCCTCGCCGCCCGAGTTGAGCTCCATGAGCTCCAGCTCGTGCTTGGCCGCCGTCTCCAGGACGCGCTGCTTGTTGTAGTACCTGACGAAGTTGTTGATGATGGGGTGGATGGGCAGGGCGATGGCGATGACGCCGCACAGGAAGCTGATGGCCGCGTTGAGCTTGCCCAGCGTGGTCTTGGGGTAGATGTCGCCGTAGCCCACCGTGGTCATGGTGATGATGGCCCACCAGAAGGACTGGGGGATGCTCTTGAAGAGCGTCTCCGGGTGGCTCTGCTCCATGGTGTAGCCCAGGGCGGAGAAGACGAAGATGCCCACGGCCAGGTACATGAGCAGCAGCCCCAGCTCCTTGAAGCTGCGCTTGAGCGCGTAGGTGAGGGTCTGCAGGCCCGAGGAGTGGCGCGCCAGCTTGAAGATGCGGGCGACGCGCATGATGCGCAGCGCCTGCACCGCCTGCTGCACGTCGGCCAGCTCCAGCATGCGCGCGCCCAGGTGCGTGAGCGTGAGGCTCACGTAGAAGGGCAGGATGGCCAGCACGTCCACCACGTTCATGAAGGACAGCGCGAAGCGCAGCTTGTTGGGCGACGAGAGGAGGCGCAGCAGGTACTCCAGCGTGAACCAGCCGATGCAGGCCGTCTCCACGTTCTCCAGCGTCGGGTGCTCCACGCGGTGGCCCTCGGCGTCCAGCACCTGCAGCTCGGGGATGGTGCCCACGCACATGACCACGGACGAGACGAGGATCAGCAGGAAGGACAGCACGGCCACCACGCGCGCCGGCCGCGACGACTCGGGCTTCTCCAGGAACTTCCAGACGCGCTTCTGGCCGCGGCGCCAGCGGCCCTCGGCCGCGTCCGCGCCCAGGTCGTCCAGGATCAGCTGCACGCGGCGCGCGATCTCCGCCAGCTCCTCGCGCTTCTCGCTCAGGTGGCTCTTGCAGCAGTCGTCCAGGAACTTGAGGTCCACCTTCCAGAAGTCCATCTCGCTCTTGAAGCAGATGGGGCAGATGCCCTTCTTCATGTGCACCTCCCCGAAGTAGTACACCTCCACCACGCACTTGAAGGCGTCGGGGTCGCGGTCGAAGTAGAACTCGCGCTTGCCCGGGTCGTAGTCGTCGCACAGCGAGAAGATGGTGTCGTAGCCGCCCGCCAGGCAGTGCAGC